AGAGAGAGAGAGAGAGAAGAGAGAGAGAGAGAGGAAGGAGGGAGAGAGAGAGAGAGAGAGGGAGGGGAGAGAGAGAGTCTCGAGATGTGGAAGCTAGATGCATGCTGCGGGTCGAAGACGTGACCACGATCTCCGCTGAAGGACACCTCTACTCTAGCGGACGCGCGAGAGCGAAGCTTGTGTGCAAACCTTCTCCCACGCGAACCGATCTTCTCCCTCCGATATGTCTCGCCCAACGCTACCTACCATTCACTCGCAGATTTGCACCATTTGCAGATGCTGCCGACATGTATAGTAAGCTCATTCTCATCGCGTCGTGTTGTGCTTGCGCGTGGATAGCCAGCGGTGATGCGGCCGCGGCGGTGGTGGCCAACGATCTCCACTCTAACGACGACGACGCCGTCAACGAAGCAGCGTCAGCATCAGGTAGGCGATGACGTTATACTCACGCCCGTTAAGCGACACCCTCGCTTATAATTTATAAGCGTATTAATATACATTGATTGATGCAATTACATAGAAATAATATACTGCTGCTCTAACTTGATGATATGCTGCTACTGTTATTATATGCATATATTATAGTATTATATATATATGTTATATCTATGCGAGCGACTGAGAGCGAAGAGCAGGACGGAGCTGATGAGAGAGAGATGAGGAGAAGACGAGCAGAGCAGACGAGCGATGAGAGAGAGAATGAGAGAGAACGAGAGATGACAACAGACAACATAGTCAGACGCACCGCTAAGCGATGAGAGAGGAGAAGCAGAGAAGCGCCAGCGATCGAGACCAGAGAAAAATATAGATAGACAGATAGACAGAGAGAGAGAAGGATGAGAGAAGAGACAAGAGACGAGAACGAGAGAGAGAGAGAGAGAGTAGAGAGAGAAGTGAACGATAAAAGAGAAATAGTCAGACAGACGGGCAGACAGACAGACACACAGACACACAGACAGACAGACAGACAGACAGACAGACAGAGAGAGGTGTTGTGTATCGATACGAGTGACTATACTGCACCGCACCTCAGCGCAGCCTACCACCAGCTAAAACCAGGTAAGTGTCCTTCCAGTCCGTCTGAACGCTAATCCCGTACGAATGATGTGCAGTGAGAGTGATGGCATATCTTCCCTATATCTACCGTCAGGAATTCATCTAGCTTCTAGTGAGAGATAGAGAATCTCTACGCTTGCCATCGGATCAGCAAGTGCTCTCTCGTTCTTTCATCTCTATTCGTCTGGGAGTGGATGACCCACTTTTGCGATATTAACGCGATGAGATGAGCTTTTTCATTCATCAGGTAGTCAGTGCTCAGCTCTAATCATTAGGTAATGAGTATGTTCATATCTGTTCATCAGGTGGTGAGTATGTTCATATCTGTTCATTAGGTGGTGAGTATGTTCATCACTTCTGTTCATCGTGTAGTGAGTATGTTCATATCTGTTCATCATGTAGTGAGTATGTTCATATCTGTTCATCAGGTAGTGAGTATGTTCATATCTGTTCATCGTGTACTGAGTATGTTCATATCTGTTTATAATGTAGTGAGTATGTTTATATCTGTTCATCGGGTAGTGAGTATGTTTATATCTGTTCATCGGGTAACGAGTATGTTCATATTTGTTTATTATGTAGTGAGTATGTTCATATCTGTTCATCAGGTAGGGATTATGTTCATATCTGTTCATCAGGTAGGGATTATGTTCATCTCTATTCATTGGGTGGTGAGGGAACATATCTGTGTTTTATCAGATAGTCAGTATTCATCTTTATATCTCGTAATCATTCCTCAAATTAATCTACGCAAACTATCAGTTTGGTAGATAAAACATGTTCTGGGATCAATGATGATACAAAGAACGCATTATAGAGAGTTTACGACATACGCTGATATTGTCGCATTAACTTGGAATCTTTTTTGATCAATATTTTTTTTTCGCATCGACTGCATGCCTTTTACCTCTTACAGCGTGATTCTCAGGCAATCAGATTAATATTAAATCCCGTAAGATTATTTATCAGATGGCGTGCAAAGCAGCACTTGTTCTGTGATGTATTGCCGGAAGCTAAGTGGAAAATGGCCTGCGTGTGTTTTTTAGCTTTGAAGTCGGCTCTGTTTTTCCCCACATATTGAGTCGCCTTCAAATTATCTCCTCGTAGTAGCGATGCTTGCACATTTCATCTCCTTCGTTGCCGTACGGCGTTAAATTTTGCCAGTGGAACTTAATTTACCCGGTGGCCATTTTGTTAGCATAGAGTAGAGTCTGGGTAAGGTTTCTATAGCCACAGACGCTTCGAACATTTCAGGAATAAAATGATGGTAAATAAACACAAAATGTATTTACTATCAAAGACGTAATGATTCTCTACTCTCCTTCGACGATTATTACCGATAATTTCCTGTAATTGCCTTGTGTGTTGCAGAGGTGCATTAGAACGGCATTTACAGGAAATTGTCGGCAATATAATAGGCGGAAGAGAGTAGAGAAACATTATGACTTTTATAGTAAATACATTTCGTGTTGATCTATCATCATTTTATTATTGAAACGTTCCAAGTGCCTGTGTTTCTAGCGTCTAATCGTGGGTGAGTGAGCGCACACGGCGACTAACTGAAGGTGCGTAAACGAGGAGATCAAGCGATGAGGAGATGGAGTGCGACCGCCCCTCCCCCCCCCCCCCCCCCCACGCGCCCCAAGCGTAAGGATGCCGTAATGTGATTATTAGTGCACTCTTCTCCGTCGTCACCATCTTCACAATGTTAACTAGCGAGCGACAACACCCACGTTACGCACGCACGTACGTACGCACGCACGCACGTAAGAACGCACGCACGCCCCCACACGCCCGCGCACACTCTAGCTCTTTACATATTCTCACGCCTGTCGTCGACAACAGAGGAGCCGATATAATGACATCACAGGCACAGAGAGGGTTATGGTCGCGTGTGTGCGCGTGTGAGTATGTATTTTGTGTGTGTGTGTGTGTGTGTGTGTGTGTGTGTGTGGGTTATATATCAGTAAAAGAATAGCTACGTGGTTAAATTCGAGAAAATAAACAAATTTGTTATTATTATTATTATTATTATCATTATCATTATATCATTATCATTATCATTATCATTATTATTATCATCATTATTATTATTATTATTATTATTATCATTATCATTATATCATTATCATTATCATTATTATCATCATTATTATTATTATTATTATTATTATTATTATTATTATTATTATTATTAGGTAAATTTTCGCATGATATCAGTGGACATGCTGCGATACATGACAATCAGCGTACCTACCGACACACGTCCGCCCCCCCCCCCCATGACAGCTCGACGAGGCGCCGCCGACCCGAGTCAAGCGCG